AAGAGGATGGGATGAGGTAAACAAGCACAGAATACACACACACACACACACACGGACAAACAAATACACACACATCCCCCACCGCATTCTTGCCATTTATCTTTCCACTTGTTTGGAAGGATTTGTCAAGTCTCTGAAGATGTCATATAATTGAGACTCAGTCTAATGTAAATAATTCAGACTTCACACAAAGATTTATGTTAAACAGTAAGCAATGCAGAATTAGGTTTACAAGATATAGGAGAACCAGAAAATGAGAAATATTAATGGCCCATAAAGCCTATAGACTAGTAAATCCCATTATTTAGTTTTTTAATTAAAATACAAAAAGTATGGCATAAAAATTTTAATTAAGTAAGTTTTTGCTTTAAATCGTTTTTTGGACATATTTCAAAAATATTTTTGCTTGCTTGTTTTTATGACAGGTGACTTAATAAACGCCTTAAGCACTATGTACATACTATATATGTGCTTTTGAACTAGTCATATGGATACACACATATTCCAACAAGCCTAGGTGTGTAGAGAGTTTTTGTTGTTTAACTGCAAAAATACCCTTAACTGCTTTATGTGATACTGAACTAAAAACAAAATAAATGAGTAAAAGGTAGAAGTAAAAGGTATCAGGTAGTTGGGTACAGTTCCCGCTTCAGTTTAATGTCTAAAGGATGTGATGTAGTAGTGCAAGATCTGACCATCTAGAATGTAAAATTGGTATATCTGACAAATAAAATTTAAAGCACTCATACTTGAATAAGCTGTGTCATCTTCATTTTATTGTACAAATCTGTTTTATGGCTCCATGTTTAAAAACCTGTTCAACGCCTGTACCTCTGTACTGTAATAGCATATGCAATACCAAACTTACAAAGTCTATTTTAAGGTAATATTATTTTCCATTAAACATATTTCCACTTTGTGTTTCATGCTCAGAGGTTGCTCTATTGTCCCTTGATGACACTGAACTAATTTCCCTCCTTACAGGATGAGCTGAAAGACTGTTGCTAAGATTGAATGTTCCCATGGGACCGTTCATGTTTCCATATAGCGGCAAACTATACCGTGCAAGGACTCATTATTGAAAATTACATAGATATGTCTGCTGATGTTGCCATTGTTGTCTCGTTATTACAGTACCCAGAATATAACTGGGACATAACTGCATAAAAGACATTTACCCTGATCTCAAACCACACCAAAACCTACATACACTATGCAAAAGCCTCGAGCCACCTCCCATTATTTAGTTATCAATATAATGTTATTATTCAGCTTCTAAGGAATCAGACTTTCTTGTAATTTCTTGTAATTCTTGATCAATAGTTCTCTAGTTATGAAGGTCTTTCAAAGCGAGGGAATGTATTTTTGTTGCTTGTTAAGCCACTTAACACTGACCTATGAATCATTCAAGCATAAAAAAAGGTCCAAACTCAATGGATGAACCAGTGTTGTGTTTACACATAGCGGACATCTTAGCAAATAATTCATTTTAAATGGTATCTTCATTTCTAGTAGTCTGATGTAAAAAAAAACCCATATAATTTCTTCTCATTTCTTTAGTTGAGTTTGAAAAATGCCCAAGATAACATCGTTTTACAGGGATCACATTGTATTTTTGTAACAAAGTGATCCCCGAGGAGCTAGCATCATAAACAGTGTGTGCGGTTTGTCCTCAAAAAATGTAAGAAAACAAGTGGAAGGCAAATTGCCAGGCCTATTTATGGTAGATCTTAAGAAAAAAGCAGTAAAATATCACAGCAGAGATCTGACACGGGACCTGAGAGATGCATTGGCTCTTTATCCATCTACTGTTCATCAAAGGTTCATCAGAAACGCTGTCAGTGGAAGGGCGGCTGTCAAGAAGCCATTCTTGAGGAAGGGAAAGAGGAAGTAAAGACTGAGGTATGCCAAATTACACAGGAACTGGACTGAAGATCATATGGAGTCATGAATCCCAATTAGAAAATTTTCGTTCACTAGTGATTATTATTAGTGTAATAATAACAGAGGAGGTCAGGAGAGAAGTCTAACAGCGAGTGGAACAGTGTTGGCTCTGTCTTTCAGCATGTAGTGTGGGAGATCTTTTCAAAACGGATGAAATTATGAATACATAAAAGTACTGTCAGATTTTCATCCACCATGCATTACAATCTGGAAAGCATCTGACTGGCTGCAGATTCAAAAAACAAACATAAATATGTTAGGTTTATATTGTTGGATTGTCATTTATGCTTAGAAATATATACTCATATATGCTTAGATTATTATGATAGAGGTCTGATCCTTAGCAGCCTGCAAAGACTCTGTGTGCCTCCCAGAGCACTCTGGCATACAGACATATATTAAGGTCATGAGAGAGGTCGTACCTTCTCTTACTGATTTATGGTATAGGAGGACACCTACTCTGTATCTATTTAAGTATAAGAGCCCTTTGTTTAGGTGGACCACTGGACTCCTAGCACCAGCTTTGGGGAGTCTTCACAGGGTCACATCTTGACCACACACACACACACATCTATACATACACACAGACAAGGTACTCTTTGTTTACAGCAGTGTTACGAGGGAACAGACGAGAGTGACTGGGGTTCAAGCGGAAGGAACGGCGCTCGTCACAGTTCTCTCCCTCGTGCACGAGATCAAACAAAGAGCTCTGCTTGGTGTCCAGTGCTTTTTGCTGTTGTAGTAGAATTGTCTCGTTCCAGCAACATTATAACAACATACAATATATTTGCTCATACGAGCTGCAACACAAACTCAAACTAGACACAATCCGAGAAATTTTAATGTTCTACCAACTAATAACTTAAATAATATATGTAATAGTAAAGGGGTTTGTGTATGTATGTGTGTGTGTGTGCACGGGTATTAACATCTTCCTGGGGACCAAAAATTGGTAGTTTACTATACTTGTGGGGACAAACAGCCCTCGTGGGGACCCCACGAGTTTGAAGGCATTTTTGAGACTCAAAATGTGGTTTTAGTGTCAGGGTTACAATTAGGTTATGGTTAGGTTTAGGGTAAGGATCAGGGTTAGGCATTCATTTTTGATGGTTAGGGTTAGGGTAAGCGGCCAGGGAAAGCATTATGTCAATGAGATGTCCCCACAACGATATAAATACACACGTGTGTGTAGAAGCATCAGTACCGTATGCTGATATCCAGCCATCATATGGAAGAAGCTAATGCCATGCGTATTTTACCTCTGGCATGATCAAACTTGTAAATGACATAATTAACATGTGATCGTGTTGCATGTGATTAATGTCATTATCATCACTGCTCCCCTAATTATCATCAAAATCATTAAAGACCAACGGAAAGAGAATCTGTATGTCTCGTATTTATACCCATATAGACAGGTGCATACACACACAAACGTCCACTGAAAAGCATTCGCTCGGCGAACCCAAGTCAGCACGTCCACGTCTGAGTGAGGAAATTATATATTCAATTTCCATACAGATGAGCCGAGAGTTACTTTCAGCTCCTCTTCCTATTTGAAGCTAATGAATGCAGATTGAAAAGATGTTGATTCCATCTAAACAAACGCCCCCAACACCTGCGCATCAACTGGCAAGTCTGTCCTCTCCAGGACTGAAATAGAAAACATAATTTAAATATTCATACCCTCAATGGGCTGAATGAATAAGCAAATTATTAATCCGTCCCACTTATTTCTCCTCCTCTCTTTCCTGTGGAGGTTTAAGAGCGTGGACAAGAGCAAGTAGCCTGCTTAACGTTAAATGGTGTAATTTGTTATCTGGGGGTGTTGATAAATTAGTGTTCTCTGTTACAGTGATGTTTCCTATTAGTCATGATCTGAGAAGGTCTTTTTCCTATGTTTGTGTCTTTGCTCAGACATCAGAGTGGAGGAGTCATTTTAAAGACCAATATATGCAGAAAGCATTTTATCAACTGTTTTTGCTGTCAGTCAGTAGTGTCTGGATTTCATCAAGTGTGCCCATCGACACGCAATCTAAAACCTGTCGTGCCCTCTAAAATCAATGAATGAAAAATGGTAAAAGATGATTTATTCTGCTGAGCCATCATCAAAACCGTTTTTATACGGGAAATTTTTCCATCAATCTGGTGTAGACAGTGGGTCTGGCTGCCTTCCTTAAGGTCCGCTTTGGAAGACAGCTTGTTCTCAGGACAGAAACACTAAACAGAGGCCTGAGTCAGTGGGAATTAACTCAGGTAATGTGGATTCCCAATAAGTGGTGTTCTAAATACAGACATTACATTGCTTCAGTGAACATCATTATTGATAGCTAATTTTCATGGACTGCTAATTCATAAAATGTACAAAAACTATCCTGTAAAGCATAAACCGGGTAAATGAAGAGAGTTCTTTGTATGATACAGGGTTGCTGTATTGTTGTCTGTTACTATGTCACGAGTAAGGCAGTTTTTTTTTTAAACATTTTGCACACTCAATGTACTTAATGTATTTTGGCAGCAAACGTTAGCCAATAATGGAACATCTCATGCACTTTGAGTTATTCAGCAACTTAAAATAATAACATTTGGCAGTAGGCACACTTTTATTGGCTCTCTGAGTTGTGGTTTTGCCATAACAGCAGATATTTCTGCCTGAAAAGCACTTGACTTGCATTTTGAAAATTAAGTAAGGCATCAACACAGCAACATAGATGGAACTGGCGCATTTGATAATGGCCGTAGTCTCTGGCAGAGGGTAAACTGTTGTGTCAGGGATGACCTTAATGTCAAGACATCTTGACCTTGCCCTGTGGTGGAGCAGTATTAGAAAACTATGTGGATGAAAACAGCCAAGGAGAAAAGAGGAGTACGCAATGCCCAAGCTCTGGTGAAAAATGAGGCAGGAAGCATAAGGAGGACGCGTGCTGAAGACTATTTCCGTCCTGTTATTTTTAAAGAGACAGAGGGCAACAAACCCTTAACTGTATCATTAAAGGTAATTAAAAAAAACTATATATTGAGTTATAAAAATGTCCGTTTATAGAAACACCTCTTACCTGTGTATGATGCGCTTGGTGCGGAGATATCCCAGAGCCAGAGCCAATTCACAGATGTAGAGTTTGACAGTGCTCTCTGAGAAGTGCACATTCTGCTGGAGGTGGTAGCGCAGGTCTCCGCCCAGAAGCAGATCCACCACCATAAACATGTCCTCCTCATCTTGGAAGGAATACCTATAAAGAAAGATAAGTCACAAAGAAGAGTGACATGGTAACAAAGAGTCAGGGAAATGGCAAAGAAAACTGGAGAAAGAAATAAAAACTGAGGAGACATGTAAGAGGAGGAGGGAAAAGAACTAGGGAATCAAGGGGTGATAAACCCATCAGCAAAAAAATAAGATAACAAGCGCAAATTGAACTCATGCCAGGTTTGTGCACCTCAGGCAAATCAACCTTTTTAAGATAGTGTGTAACACCTTAGTATAAAAAGTTTGAAAAGAACAAAGAGTTCAGCAAAACCTTTCGGGGTTTTAACAACATGATCTCTATAAAAAACAACCTCGGAAGCCTTGCATACTCTCAGAGGACAGGTGCTCCTCTAAGTCCAGGCCTAAAGAAAAACACTCATCACAGTCTTTCACATTGCAGAAAATGCTGTCTACGTGACGCCTGTGGCAAAGTTCATTAACCTTCTGTCAGGGTTGGGGGTTTTTGTTCTCTCCCTTCCTCTCTCTTGCCTTTTCCCCTTTTCACTGCTCTCAGGTGATGTTTGGGATGGTTCCCTGATCAGTTCCCTAATCTTACTGTAAACTGAATGCTTTGGTCTAGGTCGTTATGACACTTTTAAGGCTCAGAGAAATGAGAAAATCCCACAGAAGTGGCTACACAGGAGGCATGTGAGACAGCTAAAACAACACTCTTGGTTGAGCACTTTTGTACAGCTTAAAGAAGAATTCCAGGTGTTTCCCCCATCCATGTGGCTCCATGGGTACAGGTATGTTTAGGAAAATGTTATGTTGCACAAATGTTACATGAATGGGGTTTATTGGATTGACTGAAAAGCCATAACAATGGGAAAATCCAGGCTGAAATGCAAAATTCTCCTCTAAGATGACAGTTTACAGAAAATAGACATTGGACAATGTCTACTTTTACAACCTTATTTGTTTGGGTCATAATTATTAATCATAATAACCTGTCAGTCAGTCTTAATAACTATCATTCCATCCATCCATCCATCTTCTTCCGTTTATAAAGACCAAAGTGCTGCACAAAGCCTTCAAATTACATATAAATACACCTGAGATATACTTAAGTACATCATCACTCGATTTAAAAATATAATGTGAGCCACTATCATCCTTACACTTGTATGGCAAGGATAAAAAATGTGCCTTCTTAGTTGTCTCCACATGACATTGTATCATGAATAGCTTGCTAACTATTCTTGTTTCCTCTTAAATTTTCCGTGGGCTCAATTTTGCATAGTTTTTACAGTTTTTACAGTACACGGTAGTTAATATTTGCCTATATATAGTCCTGTATTGGTGTTAATCTGTGAAGAATGCGCTGAGTGTGACTGCGGTCATCAGTCTGCTCATCCCTGAAGCTCCAGCATGCACAGCCAGCCTGTCTCAGCGAGAAGTCCGCTGCGTTGCACTTTGAGTAGCTGTTGCACAAATAATTGATTTTACATGCTGAGCTTCTCACCGGGGATGCACTTTTTGTTCACTCCATTTAAACAATGACTTAATTAGTTTCTCACCCACGACTAATTTATGCAAAAATTGTATAAAAAAATCGCAGCTGCCTGCTTTTTTTTCCAAAGCTCGCCTAGGGTTTTGTTCTGCATACAGTTGGCAACACAGTGTCCTACATTTCCACGTTCATATCTTGCATAAAATATCAGATCTGCTGCTACACTCGATTGAAATGTGGATTTAATCGGATGCAAACAGCCTACAGCTGAAATTGTTGCATCTTTGAAAAGAGTATTTCTGTTATTGCCGGCAGAAAAGGATCATCTTGGCTAAAAGTCAAAGTGTAATGACCAAGGATGTCTTTTTTTGGCTGTATTGGTGAACACCCTGAAGGTGAAGCTTTTCTAAACTGGATGGATGGAGATTGATTAAGCTGACTCCAAACTGTCTACTACGGCTCAGATAATGCTGAGACCACTCAACATCTGATTGCCGCAGCCTCCGAGTTTGGAAATACTATCTGTGGCATGGACATCCTGGAGATGCATATATTTATATGCAACAATAAATATTTATCCTAAAGATAATCCTATTTCTGACTCTCATTAGGATATCCTATTTACCCAAAAGTCAACTACATTGAATCAGGCAAAATATGTTATTTTTGCACCAACGAGGTGATTCCAAAAGAGATCTATGCCAAAAACCTGTCATATCTCAGTATGGTGTGCAACATATCCTTAAAAATGTGTCAAGCCAAAACAAATCTACAGCAGATGAACAGAATCTGGAAGTCATGTCCTTATGAATAAGAAAATAAAAGCCTCATCAGAAAGTCTCAGTGTGTGTAGATGTAGGAAAGGCTGACACACATCATATTACAGAAGAATTTTAGTGAAAATCAGTGCAACAGTTCTTATGGAGTGAAAAACCCATATTTGAAATTGGCAAGAGGTACAACAGCAAGTGTTTAAAGCCATCTGTAAAACACAGTGGATGCTCTGTCATAGTTTTAAGACTGATGGAACTACGAAGGCAGAAACGCATCAGATTTTAATCCAACAATAATGTCATCTGGAAAGTATCTCTTTGTTAACAGCTTCATGTTTCAGCATAACAACGATGCCAAACAAACTGCCAATGTAGTAAAAGCATAGCTGGATGGAAAAACACACAATGGAACGCAATCAGTCATGGATTGGTCTCCCTAGAGCCTGGACTTCAATAATGTGGGGGGTCATCTTGGCACAGAATAGAACAAAAGGCACCCAAACGTCAAAGAAGTACTTTGAAAGTCCTTCAAAAACTCTAAAGAACGATGTCTTAAAGAAATTACAGAGAAGCTTGTCTAACAGAGTTCAGGTTGCGATGAAGAATAAAACTGGTCATAATGAATAATGACGCATTGTACAAAACATAGCTGTGCTGGGACAATCAGAATAAAAATGTATTCAGAAAAGAGGACCTTTAACAGGAGTCTACCAAGATTTTATTCTGGAAAAGAAAAGTTTCAGCAGATATAACTAGAGTGACAGAGTGGTTTGGCATGTATGCTTGTGTGTGTGCATAAAGATGAAAGAAAGGAAGAGTGAGTTGGAAAACGATATGACGCTTAAGTCTGGCACAGAAGGAAGAGACACACATCAAACCCGCATCATATTAACACCACACTCTCTGCATTGCTTGACTTTGATGCAGGATTTGTAGTTTTTTCGGATGACACAACTCCAACTGTGTTCAGGGAGAGTAAAAATGTTCTAGCTAATTATATTGCTCTAGTTCTGTTTACAAAGATATGTGAAGAACTAATGAACCACACATTTGGATACGCCAGTCTAGGTGCTATCCTGTTACTGCGTACCTCAATTACAGAAGAATTATAGAAAAATAAACTGTAAGGAGTTAAATAGCAGGAACAAGTATGCAAATTTTTTAATGCGAAGCTGAAAATGTGTGAAATACTGATGACTGAAAATCTTGCCAAAGACTCCAAACCAAGATAGGAAGAATAGGCCTTTTTTTGTTTAAAGTGTGCGCCAGATAACTTTTAGTGATTGTCGGATGGACTCTATTTTTACTCCATCTACTAATCGTTTGATTGACTGTCTTTGCTTCTCATTTGCTCTCTTGCGGTCTCCTGTTTCTCTCATCCCTTCTCTCTTATTCTACCTTAGTGTTTTTCTCTTTCTGTCACGCACACATGAAGTGTAAATACCTCTAACTGAGCCAATTTAAGGAGGTAAAGAATACAACAGGACTCTGTCACAAGTATTTAGGAGACACAAACGGGACATTAATTGCTCATTTTTCTTGGCCACAAAACAAGAAAAGGAGTTACTTGTTTAATATGTATACAAAGAGATGATTTCTTCTAATGTGCTGAGTTCAGCGACTTTTTTTAAGACAGGGGAATTGATCTTTACATCTGAATTAAATGTGCTTCTTGCTAATTTATTCATTACTACTAACTATTTAATAATTATTTATTTTATGTCATGTATACTAGAGATATCATGAGCCAATCTTATGGATTTCTGTTTGTGTCGATTTAGGTATATTTTAATAGGCTAAAATACAAATATGAGAAAAAAGGGTCACAAATATTGGACATTCCTATTCTTTGCATTTAATTCATTATACATCCAAATAGTTCATTAATTACCAATTACATGCCAGATACCATATGCATTTAGGCATGCAGATATGGTCAAGATCACCTGCAAAAGTTCAAAGCAAACATCCGAATGGGGAAGAAAGGTGACTTAAGCAACTTTGAATGTGGCATGGCTGCTGGTGCCAGATGGGCCAGTCTGAGTATTTCAGAAATTGCTGATCTACTGGAATTTTCATGAAAAACCATCTGTGGCTTTTACAGAGAATGGTCCAAAAAAGAGAAAATATCCAATGAGCATAGATCTCTGGATGAGATTGCAGTGAGGTGATAGGAAGGCAACAATAACTCAAATAACTACTCGTCAAAGGAAAACTGGACAACTGAAAATTAGATTGTTGCATATTCTGGTCATTCTTAGTTTCTGCTTCAACATTTGAACAGCAGTGTCAGAATTTGGCATAAAAACAAAATGAGAGCATTGATCCATGCTGCCTTGTATCTTGTATTCAGGATGTTGGCATTGGGGTTATGGTGTGGGGGATACTACTACCAACTGAGCATCATTTAAACACCACAGCCTACCTGAATATTGTTGGTGAACATGTGCCTCCATTTATGACCACAGTGTGCTAATCTTCTGTTGCGTCTAGCAATACAATGCACCATATTTCAAAGCTCAAATCATCTCAAACTGGATATTGAACATTACAATGAGTTCACTGTACTCATACGGCATCAGTCACCAGATCTCAACCCAGCAGAGAACCTTTGGGATGTGGTAGAGCAGGAGATTTGCATCATGGATGTGCAGCTAAAAATCTGCAGCAATGTTACCGGCACCTTCCAGAATCGAGGCCATGAAGAATTAAAGCAGGTAACAGAAGGACTAAGGTGTATCTAATAAAGCAGTGTGTGAGCAT